CAGCCTGGTTGCCCTTAACTACCCTCCCCTGCTGGCCTGGTTGCCCCCAACTGCCCTCCTCTATTGGCCTGGTCCCCCCTAACAGCCCTCCCCTGCTGGCCTGGTCACCCCTAACTACCTTCCTTTGCCAGCCTGGTCACCCCTAACTGTCCTCTCCTGCTGGCCTGGTCACCCCTAACTGCCCTCCCCTGCTGGCCTGATCTCCCACAAGTGCCCTCCCCTGCTGGCCATCTTGTGGCTGTGGGCACCGCCATCTCTGAGTGCGTGGCATTCAATTAGCATATTCCCTCCTTATTGGCTGTGGGTGCTGCCATCTTTGAGGGCATGGCATTCAATTAGCATATTCCCTCTTTGTTGGCTGTGGGCGCTGCCATCTCTTTTTTTAAAAATTTTTATTTCTTCGAATAGGTTTTCTAATCCGTGTTCATCTTTCTGTTGTTCTGGCACCCCTATTATTCGTATGTTGTTTCGTTTCATGTTGTCCCAAAGCTCCCTTAGGCTCTCCTCCTGTCTTTTAATTTTTTTCTCCATTTGCCGTACAGTTTGAGTGTGTTTTGCTTCCTTGTCTTCTAATTCACTAATTCGGTCCTCCGCTTCTCCCAGTCTACTGTTGATACTTTCAATGGAGTTTTTTATTGAGGCTATGTCGCTCTTCATTTCTTCTTGGGACTTACTTAAGTTGTTGATTTTTTCATCTGTTTCTTCTAGCTTCTTGCATAAGTAGTTGAGTTTTTCATCTGTTTCTTCTTGCTTCTTGAACATCCGGTGCATGTACTCTAGGAACCTTATTCTGAATTCTTTTTCCGTCATGTTGCATATCTCTGTCTCACTTAGCTGCTTTTCTGGCGAGTCCTCCTTTTCTTTCCTTTGGGGGTTTCTTTGTCTACCCATGTTTGATCTCACTGACATGACTAGTTGTTGAATCGTTCAGTGGCTGGACCCTGGGAGGCAGTGGCTGCTCCCTGGGTGGCAGTGGCTCCTCGGGCTGTGGTTGCTCCTTGGGCGGTTGTGGTAGCAGCGGCTCCTCTGTTGATAGCAGAGCCTCTGGTGGGTGCTGTTCACAGCTGTGGTGGCTCTTCTGGCTGGTGGAGGGAGGCTTCACACACAGCAACTGTTCCCCAGGCAGAGCGTATGGTGATCAGGAGGCCGCTGTTGCTTGAATCTGCTGCGTTGATTCAAAGGCACAAAATACAACACAACAAGGCAGAACGTACCAGGCACTAAACACTATTGTATTTATGATATTACTAACCCCAAATAAAGGTGGCCTCCCGAGCTAAGAGAGTTGAGAGATAAGGGGGAAAGAAGAGAAAAAGGTAGAAGAGAAAAAAGAAAGAAAGAAAAAAAGGAGTGCAAAAATGAAATTGGGAAAAGGGAGGGGAAAAAGAGGAGGAAAAAAAAAGTAAGAGAGAAAAGAGAATGAAGTACAAAAGGGGAAGTGACTATTTATATGAGGAGAAAACTCCTATAGGTCCGCCACTAATACCAACAAATTACAGCAACAGATTCCTGGAGATGAATACAAACTACAAACAACCAATAATATCAAGTGACGCAAGGGGAAACAGAAACACAGAAATAACTAGGGGGGGGGGGAGAGGGAGGGGCAGGAAAATAAAAAGAATAAGCAGTCTAACCTCACAAACAATTAAAAAAAAACCCCAATATATTCGTCAATCAAGCAAACAACAATAACACAATAGAGAGAGAAAAGAAGAAGAAGAAGAGGAAAAAGAAAAAAAAAATGGATAGTGAAGGAAGATAAGGGAAAGGTGTATAAGGATTTAGAACAGGGGATAGGACGTAGGATATATAAGCAGGGTTAAATTTTGACAGGGGGTAAAAAGAATAGGGAAAATCAAAAGCTGGAGTAGGGTAAGATAAACAGGACAGCAAAAGGGAAAAAGTGGGGAAGATTGTTTAGCACAGAGGCAAATTGAGGTAGAGAACAATGTTGCTAAAGGAACGATGAAAATAGAATGGAGAACATTAGTCCCAAAATAAAATAAAGACAAAATAAAATGACACTTAAAAGAATGGTAAAATGGTAGCGGTAAAAATACTAGTTAAAAATAAAAATGTAGTAGCTGAAAGGGCAAAATCAGGTGATGGAGAAAAAGAAAAAAGAAAAACAGAAAAAAAATGTTTTCTTAGTTAAAAGGAGGAAAAGTAATTTAAAAAAATAAAAATAAAAATGTGCAGTAATGCAGGTGCTTCAGATCTTCTACTCTTCTTATTGGCCCGCCCGGAATTCAGGAGAATGTTGAGTTTCCCTCTGGTACACTGCTCCTCTGTGTTGTAAGCCACAGTCCTGATTTTAAGGCCGGCCGTAAAATCCCCTTATTGCCTTATCTGTATTTACAGAAGAGTCAGTTCGTGGCTCTGCCTCTGGGTGGCAGTGTTTCTGGATTGACCTCCGAGGCTATAAGTTCTCTCCGACCAGGAGCTCTGTATTGTACCTGAACCAGCTCCGCCCAGGGCTGGTTCCCCAGGCGCCACTCCCAGCTCTGTTTCCCCGGCTCCCCAAAAACAATCTTCCCCTACAAGCTCTGCTAGTGACCCCAACTGGGCAATCACATCCAATAGGGTCAACAATCAAACTCCCAGAAGTAAGAGGAAGTGTGGAAACAAGAGCCTGGGAAGCTGTTCGAACTCGCAGGGTTCCACCCTCCAGAACTGCGCGAAATGTCTGCGCGTTATGTCTGCGCGCGCTCAAGCCCCTGGCAACAAGTAGCCGGTTATCAGGGAAACTCTGAGGTAGCCCTTTTTGCATCCAGTCCAATTATGGGCTCATTTATAGTGATACCTTCTGGCAGCAGCCCTGCGGGAGCCCTCCCCACTTGCGGATTACCCTGGCTTCTATGTGCGCGGATTTTGGAGTGCGCAGATTTCCCCCTGCGCCCGCGCGCGCGTTCCTCGCTTCAACCTTAACTGCAAACCACACCTTTGGGGTAAGTCTAACCTTTCTGTGGAGGGATGCAGGTCTCCGCTGGGCTCTTGTAGTCGCGCTGCTTGCGAGTCGTTGCCTCCGGGTTGGTAGGCGCTGGGTTAGTAGCCGTTCTCTGGATGCCGGTAACCGGTAGCCGCAACCCAAGATGGCGCGGTCTCACCGCTGCGCTGGCGCCCAGGGGGAGGTTTCAGTCTCAATCTCTAACCATCCGCTTTTTTTAGGAGTTCTCTGTCTTTCCTGGCTGCAGACTGCCTCTCAGCTGAGCCTCCCCAGCTTGATCGGGCTGATTGTTACCCGTTTCAGCTGCTCGCTCCTATCTGCTCCAGGATAAAGCACCAACACGTCCGTCTAAGCCTCTGCCATTTTCCCGACCCTCTAAAAATTTTTATTGATTAAGTTATTACATATGTGTCCTTATCCCTACATTACCCCCCATACCCCCCACTCATGCCTCACCCACCTGTTGTCTATGTCCATTGGTTAGGCCTATATGCTTGGATATAAGTCCTTTGGTTGATCTCTACCCTTTATCCCCACCCTCCCCTACCTTCCCTCTGAGGTTTGATGGTCTAATTGATGCTTCTCTGTCTCTGGATCTGTTTTTGTTCATCAGTTTATGTTGTTCATTATATTCCATAAATGAGTGAGATCATGTGATATTTATCTTTCTCTGACTGACTTATTTCACTTAGCATAATGCTCTCCAGTTCCATCCATGCTGTTGCAAATGGTAAGAACTTCTTTTTTACAGCAGCATAGTATTCCATTGTGTAGATGTACCACAGTTTTTTAATCCACTCATCTGCTGATTGGCACTTAGGCTGTTTCCAAATCTTAGCTATGGTGAATTGTGCTGCTATGAACATAGGGGTGCATATATCCTTTCTAATTGATGTTTCTAGTTTCTTGGGATATATACCTAGAAGTGGGATCACTGGGTCAAATGGGAGTTCCATTTTTAGTTTTTTTGAGGAAACTCCATGCTGTTCTCCACAGTGGCTGCATCAGTCTGCATTCTTACCAGCAGTGCACAAGGGTTCCTTTTTCTCCGCATCCTCACCAGCACTTGTCGTTTGTTGATTTGTTGATGATAGCCATTCTGACAAGTGTGAGATGGTACCGCATTGTCATTTTGATTTGCATCTCTCGGATGATTAGTGACTTTGAACATGTTTTCATATGTCTTTTGGCCTTTCTTCTGTCTTCTTTCAAAAAGTATCTATTTAGGACCATTGCCCATTTTTTGATTGGGTTGTTTATCTTCGTTTTGTTAAGTTGTATGAGTTCCCTGTAAATGTTGGAGATTAAACCCTTATTGGTGATAACATTGGCAAATATGTTCTCCCATGCAGTAGACTTTCTTGTTGTTTTGTTGATTGTTTCCTTTGCTGTGCAAAAGCTTTTTATTTTGATGTAGTCCCATTTGTTTATTTTCTCTTAATTTCCATTGCCTTAGGCTGTGGGCACCGCCATCTTTGAGGGCAGGGCAGTCAATGAGCATATTCCCTCCTTATTGGCTGTGGTCAATGGTCATATTCCCTCTTTATTAGATAGGATGCCCTTTTCTCCTCTGGCTATAAAGTTCTATTTGTGAACAACTGAATACTTGAATTAAAGTAGCTTTTTAAAGCTTCCTTGTATTAGGATATTCAGGACAATGTTGTTCAATCTTTTAATACTGGTAAAGACAATGGATATGGGATTCTAAGTTACAATTTCTTCTGTTTCAGTCCAGCTCCTGCCCTACGGCAGCAGCATGGTCCTCAGATGCCTAATGTGTACCAGATGACTATGGGTGATGCATAAACACAGTTGTTTTTAACCTCAAGAGCTACTGGTCAATTTTCACATATGTTAGAAACTGTTTCTATGTATACAGTAGTGATTATAAAGTTTCTTCTTAAAGTACATGCAAACAAAAATGATTAACTTAAAGAAAAATATTAAGTAAATAATAATACAAGTAGAATTCTGATGTAGCCTAAAATCTTAAGGTGGTATGACAATGATTGACTTTTGGCAAACACTTCCTTAAAAGAATTCAGACTCAGAATAGCTCCATGTTTAGAAACCAAGTGGATGCTGGTGCTATTGATTGTGGTTTTCTGGGGCATGGTAGAAGGAACAATGCACTATTTTTCCATTAATTGTCAGCAAAAACTTTGCCACTGAAATCATTGCTAAGTGATGTCTCCTGATGCCACTTTGATCTAAAAGGAGATCGTTAGGTGTGTAGCCTTTAGTCTTCCATAAACCTTTTATATTTTTTCTGATGAAGTAACAAGTTTAGGTGGCTTAAAGGCTCCCTTAAGTAATAAGAGTGAAATGTTCCTGATATTGGAAAAGCTCAGGGAGCAGCTTGACAAAATACTTTTTTTCTTGTAATCATGGAAAATTTTCAAACCAGCAATAAAACTAGCTTATTCTAGTTTCATTGACCTGCATTAAGTATAAAATATAAATGTATCAGAAGTAAAGCTGTTAGCTTAAGAATAATTGCTTCTGTCTTGACAGTGTCCTTTTTATATTAATAACAGTCACAAACACTGCTTTGGCCTATTCTTGGACTTTCATTATATCTCCCCTAACCCCCTTTTTACTTTTTTATTATCTTCTTCAAGGTGAGGCAATGGAACAAGGTTTACGAGATTGCTGTCGATCCATACGTATTGGAAAGATCCTGATTCAGAGTGATGAGGAGACACAAAGAGCCAAAGTATATTATGCCAAGTTCCCTCCAGACATTTATAGGAGAAAAGTCCTTCTGATGTACCCAATTCTCAGTGAGTGGCTTGAGTTAAATCTGTAACATTTGGTTAGAGTTTAAATTCAATTTAGTGCCTACCTTCTGGGTACCATTTATAAGGCAAAAACTGTTTTTAAATGTTTTTTTCTCACTTACATTTGGAGTTGCCCTAGGCAGTTCGCTGGAGAATTTTTATTGAGTAATAAGAGAATATACATTAGTCAAACTTTATTAGTTCCAAAGAGCTTCTTTCTTAGAATGAACACATTAAAGCAACGGATCTAATGAGGCAAAATATATAGAATACAGAAAATATATTGAAATATGTCCCCTCACTAGCCCAATGAGTTATAGCATTGATTTTCTCAAGGATGTATCTATCATCTCTGGAGGTAAATTTTTTTCTTCATTGTATTTTGTTTTCTAAGCTTACTCAGATCATACATAGCATGGTCTCCTGGGGTTGGGATGGAGGGTGGGTGTTAAATTTGATATCTCGAATACTGAATGAATTTTGGGCTTGTTGTGCCTTTGAAAACTGTAAAGTGTATGTTTCATGTCCATCATTAAAAATAATGAAGCTTTGCCCTAACCTGTTTTGCTCAGTGGATAGAGCGTCAGCCTGTGGACTGAAGGGTCCCAGGTTTGATTCCGGTCAAGGGCATATACCTTGGTTGCTGGCACATCCCCAGTAGGGGTTGTGCAGGAGGCAGCTGATCGATGTTTTTCTTTCATTGATGTTTCTAACTCTCTATCCCTCTCCTTTCCTCTCTGTAAAAAATCAATAAAATGTATTTTAAAAAGATAATGAAGCTTTGCCTAATTGTGTCTTATGTTAGATTATTAAACGACCTTTGCTTCAAATAAGCATCAAATACATTTTGGGAAAAATGTTAAAGTTGACAGTTCATTTGGTTGTCATTTGATTTCAGGCACTGGAAATACTGTAATTGAAGCTGTAAAGGTTCTTATAGAACATGGAGTTCAACCCAGTGTTATCATCCTACTCAGTCTGTTCTCCACTCCTCATGGTAAGTTCAGCATGAGGCAGTAACTGGGGCTCCATATGGTCGTTGGGTGGGTAAGTATGCATCTGTCCAGCCTCTCATCCTGATAAAAAGTTTATTTGCTTCCACATTAAGTCTAAATTTAATTTTGGTAGTTAAACTTGTGTTTCTTATCTGTAAGCTTAGTGATAATATTTTACACCATTCTAATGTTGTTCAAATGGAAAAGCATGAACTAACCCCATGGAATGGGATTGTGATTATTTTCCTAGGGGCTCTGTTTGGTAGAGCCTGTAAGTAGCCAAAAGGTCTCTATATCTCCTGGTTCCTCATATGAGTACAAGAACTGCTCCCAAACATCAAGAAATTAGAGGTTCTAGATAGCCCTGTGGTCTTACTTAAGTAAGCTTTGCAGTGTGAAGCAGAGCAGAAATTTTTAAAGTTAGACTTCTGTTCAAAGGGCCTCGTGAGAAAACTATGTTCTCCATTTCTTGAGGAAGTTAAGCCTAATTTAAGACCATAGTTTTTTTTGCCATGCAATCTACGACAGTTATGAAAGTATCCTAATAAAAAAATCATAGATGCATATAGAAATATTTCATGTAAGAAAACAATTTGAAAGTATGTAAATGACTTACGATAAGGGAATGGTTAAATAAATATATATTCAAAGGATATAATATTATGTAACTGTTAAATCATGTTTTTGAAAAATAATGACATCAAAAAAATCTATTTGGTGAATGTAAAAGAGCAGGATAAAAAAATAACAGCATTATTTAGTGTTAAATGTTATTACTAAGTTCTGAGATGACTAATACAAATTATGACTATTATGACTACCAAAATCAGACTTAGATTTAACATGGAACCTAATAAATCTTTCCTCAGCAAGAGAGGCTAGCCAGATGTGTAATACTATTTCAATTTTCATTTTAAAATGCACATACAATATTAATAGGGGTTATCTTAGGTTGGTAGGAGTCTTAAGTGATTTATTTTTTAAAATATATTTTATTGATTTTTTACAGAGAGGAAGGGAGAAGGATAGAGAGCTAGAAACATTGATGAGAGAGAAACATCGATCAGCTGCCTCCTGCACACACCCCCACTGGGAATGTGCCCGCAACCAAGGTACATGCCCTTGACTGGAACCGAACCTGGGACCCTTCAGTCCGCAGGCTGACGCTCTATCCACTGAGCCAAACTGGTCAGGGCAAGTGATTTATTTTTTAACTTTTTATATTTTCAAAATGTTCTACAATGAATTTGTATTTGTTTCATAATTGAAGAGAAAGAGAAATATATGACTTCTGTTTAGGGCATTTCCTCATTTCCAAAGGTTCCAAGTTTCAGCCAACCCTGAATCGGTTATGAAGTATCCATTTTGGGAGGGCTATATTCAGTAGGCCATTGATTATTTTGCTGTTTCATAATTTTAAAAATTACCTGTAGTTCAAATGTTGATGGTGACAAGGGGTAACATGCTTGGTCATCCTTTTATATATAACAGGTGGCATTGTAAACATTGAGATAACCAAATAATTATTGGGTTGTCTGCCTTTGGGGGTAGAAAACTTACTGTGTTAGTTCTAATAGTATACATTACAATATTGTACTATTCTTTAACATTATAGATGAAAAAATCATATTCTTTGGTAGCCTTTCGATGGCTTTTTAGTTTGAGTGGGATACTAGCTATTCTCTTTCCCTGCTCCCTCCTCTTACCCTCCCCACAAAAGTTAGAGTACTAATTTCTTAAAAGCTAGCTTGCTCTGACATAACAAAGAAGTCTTTGCACTTCTTTCACAGTGTTCCAGTTGAGAAACCATCAGCTTACGTATGATCCTACTTTCAGAGAGAACTATTTTCTCTTTATTCCAGCTGCCTTTAACTATAACTGAATATATTTTTCAAATCATGGATATGAAATAATTGATTGTAAGAATTTATTAGTGAGTGAGCGAGGGTGTAATCTGACTACTATCAAAGCTTTTCAGATATCAGACATTAAAAAACTAAGAGACCAAATCTCATTAGGTACTCAAAGGTCATTGCTCTCTATCCTCTGTCAATATGAGGCCTAGTGACTGATGGTAAAATTCCTGAATTCAAACTAATGTTACCAAAAATCCTGCATTAATAATAATTTTCTTCCTTTTATTTTTTTTGAAGGTGCCAAATCAATCATTCAAGAGTTCCCAGATATCACAATTTTAACTACTGAAGTTCATCCTGTTGCACCTACACATTTTGGACAGAAATACTTTGGAACTGACTAAGTTATTAAAGGAAAGTTAATTATCTTGTGTAATATTGCAGTTATATTTTGAGTTTCTATCTGTTTTACTGATTCACTTGAGGACTGGCAGAGAAAATTGTATTAAAGATGCTTTGTAACTTTTGGAAGTGGGTATAGTAAAAAGAAAAGATTTGAGGTTTCTTTATTTTATTTGGTTCTTTCTTAACTGTCGGCACCAAATTCAACAATGAAACACACACAACTCTTAGAAAATATTTTAATAATATTCTTATGCCAATTGCTTACCCCTCAGTACATTGAAACTGTTCCCTAATTTATTAACCTCTCTTGCAGCCACAAATAAACCCAAATGGGAATAAGTTCTTTGGCCCAGTATAGTTTGCATTTTGTGTAGTTTGCTTATAGTTCTAGGGAGTTTTCATTTTTGTGGCTGTTTTCACCTTCCTCTACTATTTACTTTCCAGTACTTTACATGCTGGTAACTTGGAGAGAATGAAAAAAATTCTTCCATGTATCTTACATTTCCTTAATATCCTCAATTGGCAGACCCAGGATATATATAATCTTTTCAGCCAAGCCATTATGTTCTTCCTGACTCATTTCCTACCCTATGTAGTGCTGGTAGGGTATTGCAGTGAAAAAATGGTGGGGCATTTTCTGCATCTGTAACTTTAACTTACATAGATCAAACCAGGAATGTCTGGATGATGACAAGGAAGGGCTAAGTACTGTTAATGCCATCAATGTCCTAGAAAGAGGACAACTTCTCTAGTTGTAGGACTTCTATTCAGCCAGATTTCAGGTGTTTCTGAATGATGGTTGTTCTGTAATTTTGATGTGGTTGTGAGTACCGGCATTTACCCACATTACCATCTTTAATGTGATTATTGTTATGAATGTTTTTAAACCTACCATCTTGCTATTTGTATTTGCCTTCTATTAGGCCCATTTGTCCTTTTTTAAAAATAATTCTTTTTTGTTGAAAGTATTACATATGACCCCCATTTTCCCCCATTGACCCCCTCCAGCCTCCCCTGCCCCCTCCCCCGCCCCAGGCCCTCATCGCCCCATTGTCTGTGGCTATGGTAGACCCATTTGTTCTTCACTTTTTCTTCTTTTTCTACATTCTTTTGGATTGAATAATATTTATCATTGCATTTTATCTCTTAATGGCTTATTAGATATAATACTTTTTGTTTTTCTAGGGTTTATATACACCTTTAATTTATCACAGTCTATTTTGTATATAATATAAAATTTTTTTTTTTATTTTTATTGATATTTTACAGAGAGGAAGGGAGAGGGATAGAGAGTTAGAAACATCGATGAGAGAGAAACATCGACCAGCTGCCTCCTGCACACCTCCTACTGGGGATGTGCCCGCAACCAAGGTATATGCCCTTGACCGGTATCGAACCTGGGACCCTTCAGTCTGCAGGCCGACGCTCTATCCACCGAGCCAAACCGGTTTTGGCAGTATAATATAAAAATTTAAACAATATCCTTCCATCCCTCCCAGCCTTGGTGCTACTAAAGAGATGTAAAAGGATATAAAAGAAATAAGAAAAAAAGAAGTTATTATTTATCCATTTTTGGTGCTTTTCATTTCTTCATGTAGATCCAGATTTTTATCAGGTATTATTATCCTTCTATCCATATTACTTCCTTTAACATTTCTTATGGTGTAGTTCTCCTAGTAATGGGGTCTTTCAGCTATTGTGTCAGAAAAAAAGTCTCTATTTCACCTCCACTTGTGAAAGATATTTCACTAGTATAGAATTTTAGGTTGGCAGCTGTTTTTTTCTTTCAGTACTTTAGTGACATTGCATCACTGCCTTTCTTGTACATTTTTGATAAGTCTCCTGTTATTTATTTATTTACATTTAATTACTGATAAAGTAGGATTTACATCTATAATTTTGCTATTTTATATATCTTATATACCTGCTTTATTCCTCCATTACTGTGTTCTTTTTTATTAATTGAATATTATGTAGTGTACCTGTGCTGGGGATCCCAATGACCACTCCCAGGACTCAATAAGATTCAGAATTCATTATATTTATGGTTATGATTTATTACAGCAAAATGATACAAAGAAAAATCAGCAAAGGGAATTAGGTGCATGCTGCAAAATCTGGATAAAAACCAGGTTCAAGCTTCCAGTGTCCTCTTCCAGTGGATCTGCACAGGATATACTTAATTCTTGTATTTACAAAGTGTAGCAATAGGTGTGAAGTATAGTCTGTCAGGGAAGTTCACTTGAGCATAAGATTCCAGAGTTTTTATTGGGGCTTGGTAACATAGGCATACTGCCTGTATGATAGAGCACAGTTATCAAAACAGACCACCTTAAGGAAAGCAAATGATCACCATAAATCTAATTATTTACATAGACTATCTAGATATTGGTCCAGTGTGGTTCAAAGAAGCTCCAAGTGTGCAAAAAACCTTTTATGAGTTAAAACATTCTAAGACCTCAATGTCCAGCATTTAGATAAGGGCCATTGATGAAAACAGACTCTTCTGGGAATGTGCAAGGTTTGAGCAACTTACACTTGCTAAGTCAACTATTTCCTGTACATTTCACCTGTCTGGCCCTTGTCCCAGGCTCTCTGACATGAAAACAATTGTATTTTTCTGAGCACCTACATTTAGTATAGGATTTATATAGCAAAATAGTAATAATATCAACATGAGTATATCCAGCATTTGGAGGAGTCAGTGCTACATAGGGATAGACATGAAGTAGCAATTAATACATACTATATTGTCATTATGTTTATCTCCACATTTTTGTGTTAATTTACACCTCATCTACAGTTGTTTGTGCTTTATGATAAAATTCGGTAGAACTACAATAGGTTCCCCTTATCTATAGTGGATACTTTCCAAAACTCCCAGTGCATGCCTGAAATCACTGATAGCACCATATGCTTTTCATACATACCTATGATAAATTTAATTTTTAAATTAGGAACAGTAAGAGATTAACAATAACTAATAAAATATAATAATTATAGCAATATAATGTAATAAAAGTTATGTCAATGTAGTTTCTCCTAAATATCTTTTTGTACTGTATTCACCCTTCTTATGATGTGAAATGATAAAATGCCTACATGATGAGTTAAATTGAGGTGAATGATGTAGACACTGTGTTGTAATGTTAGGCTACTATTGTCCTGATGATATGTAAGGAGATTCATCTGTTTGAGTGATCCTGGATCACTGTGCCATGACATTGATGCATATCAGAAGCAGATGATGTCAATGGTTGGGAATCTCCAATTTTTGAAGTTTTTTTTTTCTGAAACCTTTTGAAGAACATTGCAATCTGAAATTGTTGTCTTTTTATTTTAACTCATGGAAGTGTTGCTGTCCAGGTAATCCTTTGGTGATCACGTGGGTGACTTTAATCTGAGTTCTATCTGAAGGTCATATTCCTTAATTTTGTCCTTTAATACCTGCAATTAGAAACACTTCAACAAATGCTGGTAATGTCCACATTGCTGGTTCTGTTTCAGTTTCTTCATTTTCCTCTTCCTCTGTAGACAACTCAACAAATTCTTCCAAATCCTCATTTGTTAACACTTGATGGCCTTCAATATGTTCTCTAACTTCATAAAACATGTCAGCAAATTTTTCTCCATCAACTTGTCTTGCTGTGTGAATGATTTTTTCTCACTTCGCCATCAATCCCTGGAAGCCTTTATTTATTTATTTTTAAATTTTTTTGTTGAAAGTATTACATATGTCCCCTTCCCCCATCCCCATTCACAACTTCAGTCCATAAGTTCTTCCAGCAGGCATTTACAGTTTTCCACTTTAGCTCCTTCATTGCAGCTTTGGTGAATGTTACTGCATCAGCATTAGTGAATGAATTCTTGCACTGCATTATGTCCAGATTAAGGTATCCATCAATTACTGATTGAATGCAATCAAATATCAGGTGTGTGTTTATGGCCTTGACAAACAATGATGCCCTGGTTAAAGGGGCTCAAGCAATGAAGTTGTATTTAGAGGTAAAAATAAAACTTTGACATTTTCCTTTTCATAAAAAACAGATTCAGGATGATCAGGTGAATTGTCTGCTATTAATAGGACTCTCTTACAAGTGTTTTATTTGTTGTTGTTTGTTTTACTGCTATTCCATGAAATCTTGGTGGAACTATTCCATAAACAAGATAGCTGTCACCTCATGCTTTCTGATGATGTTGCTAGAACATGGGCAGATAATTTTTGGTTTTGTTTGTGAAAGCGTATGTGTTGTTTGTGTGTTATGCCTGGCTTTATCATATCCCCTGCAGTGTTGCCACATAGTACAAGAATTAATCTATCCTTCCTTATTTTTCCCCATACAGAATAATGACTTTAGTGATTGTTGGCATTAATTCCAAGCCCCAATGTACATGAAGTTTGCAGGATTACTTGCTGAATCCGTGTGAGTTACAGGAACAGAGTAAATAGAACTCTGCTTCCTAATCCCCATCAGAAGCACTCATGCTCTTTTACTCTACCAGGCTGTGCTCATAACCATTTTGTTTGACAGTCTTCACATGAGAGGGGCGGAGGTGGATGGTCCGATATACCTCATCGTGATGCACCCAATATTCCAGCCTCAACTCAAGCAGAAGCAAGAATACTGGTATAGCCCATAAAAAAGCAAGGGTATTTTGAAATGAGACAGACACTCTATAACTTCCAAGTGTCTGATTTTTGTAAGGAACAATTATCGTACTTTTTTTTCTGTTGTTGTGTTCTCATTATTAGGTAGTGAGACACGCAATTTACTTCTCACAAATAAAGTGCGAGAATTTGGAACAGTCAAAAGGAGCAGTCTGACTGTTCTTCCATGTTTTATGTCCTGGTGCCTCCTTTGCATTTTTATGAATGCAGGTTCTCTTGAGAATCTTCCAGATGTGCCAAGTTTTATCATGATTGAAGACTTGCTTTGAATGGTATCTTTTCTCCTTAATCAACTTATTAAACTTTGTAATAATGGTGGCAGCGGCTTCCTTATGGGCAGATGCAGCCTCTCCAGTATTTTTTTAAATATATTTTATTGATTTTTTACAGAGAGGAAGGGAGAGGGATAGAGAGCTAGAAACATCGATGAGAGAGAAACATCGACCAGCTGCCTCCTGCACAACCCCTACTGGGGATGTGCACGCAACCT